ATGCTGATGGATTAAATTATGTCTTGCATGTTGTGCTATATTTAACGTGGGAATCTTGTTCCAAGTGGTTGTCTATTGATTTTATGTTTGCTAGTCAATTGAATTTCATGCTTTTTGGCATCCCCACCTGATTATTTTGTGCGTATGCTTGCAAGTTCTTTTGAACGGGAAGACTGCTACCCTACCCCCATGCCCATCCCTGGGGATATGGCGATATGCTACTGTCATTTGGCATTTTATGCCTTCAAACTGCAGCAATGGGGAATCCCCACCTGAAATTCGGGAAGTCACATCGGCAAGTGGCTAGGATGGGAGGTTTTCATTCAGAATCCCCCACGTTAGCAGCCATACGTGGTGGATAACACGGAACAGATCCTTTCTTCCTTTATTCCTGTGTAGAAAGATATGCACGTTAAGAGGTTCATGATATCAAGAATCCCAGAATAAATCAGTTTGTGTGTTCCAAATGCCATGCACAAGCATGCCATTGAATATTGATTGAAGCTGGTGCTTGCAGCCTTGCGGAAACAACAATTGCAGCATAAAGCTCAAGAAAATCTAGCAAGGAATGTAGTTTTACTAGCTAAAAGATGACCTTCTTGTCATGGAACACAGAATAATGTGAAAAAAAAAAAAAAAATGTTACACAGGGCATTAACATTGAAAAACCCATCATTTTCCATTTTCGTTATGTCCAAGAGGCAACTAATTTTATAGCTATAATAATGTGGTTATGGAATAGCTTCCACAGTTATCAGTTCATGTTACCAAGTATCCCATCTTTTGTTGTGGGTCAGTGTCCAATTGTGCGTGAATCATTGTAGTCTTTGCCTTTACCGATCAGAAGGTAAAAAAGTTACAGATGCTCATCGGTGAGAAAAGGGCTCTTGCTCAAATGTTTGAACAAGGAAAATTGTTCTTGATTCCAAGGGCGGAGCAACATGGAGGGGCCAAGCGGGGACAGCCGACCCCGCCCCCATGCGTCAGCAAAACTCATTCATTACTAGAGGAAAATATTAAGATTTTTCATTTAGAACCACTTTTTTTTTTTTGCCTCCCATCCCTATTAAAATTAAAATTCTAGAAAAATTTCATAGCCCCCCTCCATTTAACATTTGCCTTGGAAAAATGTAAACTTCTTTAAAAAAAAAATTTCATACTGCTATTTAATTTGTTGATCTATAGAACTTAAATTCTTATTGAATGCTTTAATACTACATATTTTCTCTTCAAGATTTACATACTGCCTCCAAAAAAAAAAAAAGAAGTCTCTTTATAAAGATGTACAATGAACACTTATAGTTAGTTGGCATTTCCGTTTGTGTACTTTGCAATAGTTTAGAGTCTACAACTTGGTATTAAAGTGCCGAGAGAAGATGGAGATATGAGTCATATAAATTTGATTTAGTAACACCTATATTCTTATCCATTAATTTTAGTACTGCTTTGTTAGAACAATCTTGATCATAAACAACTTCTTGTTATAGAATTTTGGTTTCAGATATTTTACTTTGAATTGTAGCTAAATGTTAAGATTGAATCATCAAGTCAAAAGAAAAGGGAAAATTAACATAAAATTCATAGTTTTCAACAGCAAATCGTAAAAAAGAAAAAAAAAAAAAAGACTTTCCTACACTTATAGCCGTTCCCCCTCCCCCTTCCCCCAACCCAAAATTCCCGACTCCGCCATGGTTGATTCTCCAAAGTAGATGCAGACCTGATCATGACCGTATCCTAGCTAGAGGAATGAACATGACAAGATGAAATTAAAGCACCACTTAGGAGACAATTACGTATTTAATTTTTCACCTCGAAAATTCTGTGTTTATGGACATGTGGATCTCTAACCCTGGAGTCATCCTCGTCCATAAATTACCTATACGATCTCTGATTTCGCTCGGAATTTGATAAATATTATGGGATTGAAGGGCTCAAAACCATGCTGGGGTTTCATTTGGTACAACTGATAATGGTTTTGGTCGGTACAATTTTACATGGGATGATGCTCTTTTTCCCAAATGTTTATGTTTGATTTAGCCAAAATCATTCATATACAGTCTCGATCATATAGTGATTTTAACATCGGCACGAATAGCTTATCTTACGTGCAAAAAAAAAAAAAAAACTTCTCAAATATTATTTGATCTGCAAAGTAAAGCATACAAACATATGTCAAAGGCCAAAAGGCTACATGACAGGATAGTTAAAACTTAAAAGGATGATGGAAGCAAGCATTAGCAGCTTTAAGCCTTCAACTAATACGTTACAATTCTAATACCAAGGTGCTTTAGGGCAAAGTCTTTAAGGTTGTCGATTTCGTTTTCTTCGATGAATCCAGTGCCATCCAAATCTGCAGCCCTGATTCCATCTTTGCATTTCCACTTTGTAAACCAGCCTCCCGTTTCTCGGACGGCCTGCCGAAGTTCATCCAGGCTAATTCGACCATCTTTGTCAGTATCAAACTTCTTTAACCATTTCCTGAACTCTTCTGGATTCATTTGAAGCTTGCCATCAGTCGAGACATAGCGAGGAGAAGAGTTCTTGATTGGCATTGAATTTGTACCTCAAATAGATTGGCCGCAAGTGCTTAACTTCACACTCTACACACACTAGGATATGGCGAAAGAGATTGTGAAATAGTCCTATACTTATAGAGGCACCTCGACTTAGGCTCCCACCACCAAGAGCGTGATTCACGACATGCACTGTGGTTCGACAGAATTTTACTTGTAATCATTACTTTCCTTCAGAATAAGAATCAAGTTATAGTGGCCTAAAAGCGTCTAACACAAGATGAAACGCAATTGTTTGATACAAAATGGTTGGCTAAGATGTAATTTACTTATAGGTTTTGATTAAAGTCTAATATAGAGTAGGGAAAATAAGGATCTTTGATTAAATTTTCGTTATCCTTTTACTTTAGATCACGTCCTTATAGAACAAATTTTAGAAAGCAGTACAGTAGTATACACTTTTTTTTTTTTTTTAAGCGACATAAAAAAAAAAGCTTAGAGAATATATTGAGCGTTTTTCTGAAATAAATTCTATATATTTGACATTTGCTTTGACAAAATTTTCTAACCTACCTCGAAGATTTTTCTTTTTGTTTGATTTTTTTGGCACGTACCATGTATCTCAAAGAGTTAAAGCTAGCATGGTAGAAATGGATTAGCAAAACTATGGAACGTACAAGATTTCTTTTTGTATCCTTTATCCGTTCACCCTTTCAGTCGCTATAGCTTTTGTTAAAGATTCCAAATTGTAATGATATGGCCAATACTATAAATAATTATTAGGTGAAAGTAACCACTACTAATTTTAAGAATTAAATCCACATGCACCCTTATATTATAATTAAGAATTCGTACATGTTGCAATACCATACTACAAATCATCAATGTATTCAAGATGTAGTTTTAACACTATACATATTATTTAATTACCTATTTTCTCTCTTCTAGGCAGTATTCCAAGTTGTTTTTTCCATCCCTCGCTAACTCTCCTCCTCCTCTCTAATTTTTTTTGTCCCTTTTAAACAAAACATCTTCTTTCCTTACATCTCTTCCTCGCATGTACTTTTTCTTTGTTTTTTTGTTTGTAATAAAATATCTCCTAGAATTCTTAAATGAGAGTTTCTCATCTCCTAAGACTTCTTGTTAAGAGTTTTATCCTCTCCTACAGATTCCTCCTGATGAGAGTTTTGTTAGTTATTATATTTGTATCATTCATCTAAGTTTTCATAGACTTGGTTGTCATATTGGGATTCTTTACATCAAGCTGTTAAAGCTCACATTAACATTTGGACTTGAATCAGTTCACTAGGAGATCCGGAAGAAAGTAAACATCGTGACTATAAACATTTTATTTTTATAGATGATCTTGGGACAATAAACATTTTATTTATTAATTACTTTTCAAGTTTTACAGTGTAATATTCTCTTAATTTTTCAAATCTATAGTATCTAATTTTGTTCTTTAGATCTGTTTACATCATCTGTGTATGATTAATGTAATTTCTACAATTAGTGCAGCTTTAATAAATGATAATAATATTTTTATCAAAAAGGTAGCATGCTTAATTGAAGAGAACTGATCTATCATTTGGCTACTTGAATTTTACCTATATTCACATCCAATTTTTCTCTAACCAATTCTTCTCATTGTTTCTCCCCCTTTTAATAACTTAATCATTTTCAATAAATTTAAATTATATTTTGTTATGGCTTCTCTCTATTCTAACAAACTTTATTTTTATTTATAAATTCACATAATTTATTTTATCCATATCTATTAAATTTATTTGGTGTTATTTTAATTTTTACTTCATTAAAGTTAGTAGAACTTAATATTCGTTCATGGAAAAATATATGGATTAATCTTTCCTACATTGACAGCGTATACACTATCAACGTTGGATAAATGACAATTATACAAAATTTGAATTTGAAATTCAACTTTTGCACATATGTCATGAATTAAACGGTAATAGTGTATACACTTTCAATGTGTATAAGATTTACTCAAAATATAGTTTTGCATCTTTGTTATTTAATAATTAATTAAAAATTAATATGGTACAAAAACACTTAAATAACAAGTAAACCTTTTTCTTCTTAACAAATGAGGGATGAGATTTAAGAAATGGCGAAGGGATTGGAGATTTGAATCTGGAACCTATAAATCCTAGAGCCTCAACCTCTATAACATGTAAATTTTAAAATTCCTTTTGCCTTCAATAATAATTAGGAGGAGAAATCTAGCCAAATTAGCAACTTGGACCCATGATAATTTATACATTAGCAAACTAATATCTCCATCATTAGTTGCAAAACCATACAGGAATTTGTAATCACAAGTACGACTAGTTCACAGTAGCCAAATACATGCAACCCACTGGGCTTAGCAAAACATACCTAGGATACTTCAAAGGTAGCGATAAAAAGGATCCTTTTACTAAACTATTCGATTCGAAAACATGCACAAGACGAAGATTTATCGGCTTAAGACGTTACAATTTTGATACCAAGATGCTTGAGAGCAAAATCTTTGAGGTAGATCATCTCGTCATCCTCGATGAATCCATTCCGGTTCTTGTCTGCTGCCTTCATTCCACTCTTATATTTCCACCTTGTAAACCACACTCCCTTTGCACGCATAGCTTCCCTGAGCTCTTCTTTGCTAATCCGGCCATCTTTATTACTATCAAATTTTTTAAGCCATTTCTTGAACTCTTCTGAAGTCATGATTTGATGTTTGCCTTTGAAATCGCGAGGTTTGTCTTGGTCTATGATTGCCATTAATATTCTATCTCAAATTATCTGCTAACTCTACACTGGGGTAGGCAAAAGTGACTGAAATACTCCTATATTTATAGAACTACTCGACTTAAAGCTTGTATAGTTGCGTTGGTAATACTTTAAAATATCACTTGCATCATGATTCAAAAGAAGGTAAAGTATACCGCGACCCTTTCACGGAATAAGAATCTATCTACAGTGGTCTAAAAGCTTGACTTACAAGAGTAAATCCAATTATTGATACAGACGGTTGGCTCAGATTTTAGTGAGTTAGTTATTGGTTGACGACCTATAGAACTGGGACAAAAATGCCAAAGACGGCTTTCTTCCGGTTGATTCACGAGGAGGATCAGTTTAAGCATTTATTCTTTGGTTTTATCCCAACTCAATGTGTTGTGTTTGATATGGACGAATATGAATCGCAAGAGGATATCTACTATATTGAATCATATAAATCACTTATGCTTTGCCACCCCAATCTTACTTTATGTTACTTTATATATGGTACTTTTTTTAGAATATAAATGAAAGGTTTCGAGTTAAACTTTTCACTTACATTATCTCTTTCTGTATCATCCGATCAAACCCTCCTCGCGACCTCTCACTTATTTTATTTTAGGGTACATACCTCAAAGAGTTAAAGTTGCAAAACTAAAGAATGTGCAAGATATCTTTTCTGTTTCTTTATCAGTTCACTCTTTGAGTCGCTATGGCTTTTGCGAAACATTCCAAATTGTAATGATATGGGCAATCCTATCAATGATTATTAGGTGCAAGTTACCAGTAAATAGTTTTAAGAGAAATGTTAAATCGATACCATCCCATTATAATTACACAACTGGGGCGGTTATCATACCACAATACAGTTATCAATACATTAAAGAATGTGAATTTAGTCCTTCGCTATTTTTAATGAGGATTGAGTAATTTTGAGAGTAAACTAAGCTTTATATATATGACACGTACGAAAAATTTTATTGCCTATAGCAATATTTTTTTAGGAAACTGCTCGAGAAAGAAATAGTGATAAAATTATTGCATTTCAGAATATATATATATATATATTTATTTATATATAAGTTGGTTCCGCATTTTTAGAAGTTCTATTAGACGTAACGATATCGGAATTGTAGTTTGTAGTAACCACTACTCCTATCAGTTTTCGAAAGATAGGCACTTACAAATTTTAAGGACAAATTAAGGTCTCAGCTTTTACATATTTTTCAAACAGATTAATAAAGAGCTTGGTTCACCACTCTTTGGTATCGGTTTTGAGCTAATTACCCAATTTCAATAGGTCAGTGAAAAACGTAATTAAATATATTTGCACTCAAATTCACTCACTAAAAATATAACTTCCAAAAAGTGCTAAAAACTAATTGGCGAGTGCAAATATCACTTCCCTTTTAAAGTAATCTCTTTAGTTGACCCAAGTCTAGCTGGTTTGTAAATATTTGTAAACTTTCGTATCGTAATATAAGCAATATATGACAGATATAAACTCTAGAAAGGAAAATCCTATTTTAAACAATATACAATTAAAAAAACTAAAAGATAACTCACCTCTTGATTTTTAGAAGTTTTCATTTTCGTATCTATCACTTAGTCATTTTGTATTATTTAACTCGTTTTTTCCTATAAGTGAACTCTTTCAGAAATACTTGTATAAAGCACTCATATTTTTCACATAATCTTATCAAACATCTAGTAAGCTTTTGGAGTATTTTGCTTCCCAAAAATACACTTCAATTTTTTGAAAAAAAAAATAAAATTTGTGTAACATTAATATCATATTTTCCCACATATATATTTAATATATATATTCATATTATTTACATACAAATTTATTTACGTACTTTTTGAAAAGCAATCCATGCAATATAAGTATTGTAATTAGATATTATAACGATCCAAATTCGAGGGTTGGCCCAATAACATTTGAACGTAAATAACATATAATGAGTTTGGACTTACATATCAATTTTTTTTTTCCTAATATGGGAATCTTTTGGGTATCACAATAAATCCCTCGGTCACTTTGAATATCTTTTACCTTCAATAATTAGAAGGAGAAATCTAGCCAAATTAGCAACTTCAACTGGGATAATTTTTACATTTGCAAGCCACACAAGGACTTGATAGTACAAGCACGACGTGGTTCACAGCAGCCAAATACATGACTTAGCCAAACTCACCTAGGCTAGGATACGTCAAGGGTGTAGCGATAAAAAAAGAAACCCTTAACTAAACTGTTCCACGGAAAACATGCACAAGATCGAAGACCTAGTCGATCGGCTTAAACTATTACAATTTTGATACCGAGATGCTTGAGAGCAAAATCTTTGAGGTAGCTCATCTCGTCATCCTCGATGAATCCATTGCCGTCCTTGTCCGCTGACTTCAGTCCGTCCTTGCATTTCCACCGTGTAAACCACCCTCCCTTTGCACGGATGGCCTGCCTGAGTTCTTCTTTGCTAATCCGGCCGTCTCCGTTACTATCAAATTTTTTAAGCCATTCCTTGAACTCTTCCAGACTCATGATTTGTAGTTTGCCGTCGACATTGCGAGGTGTTTGGTCGTGTATGATAGCCATTAACCTTCTATCTCAAATTTTCTACTCGCTTTACACTGTGGTACGCAACAATGACTGAGATACTCCTATATTTATACTAGTATGTACTTAAAGCTTCTAAAGTTGTAGTACTATTTTACAACATCACCTGCATTATGGTTTAAGAGAAGGCAAATTGCCACCCTTTCAAGGAATAAGAATCTTTCTACACTGGTCTAAAAGCTTGCAACACAAGATTAACGCAATTATTGATACCAATTGTTGGCTTAGATTTTTAGTCAGATAGTTATCGGTTGACGACCGATAGAACAGGGACAACAATGCCAGAGACGGTTTTCTTTCGGGTTGATTGATGTTAAGGAATTATTCTTTAGTTCCACCCCGACCAAGTGTGTTGCGTTTGATACTACTTTGATATGGACGAATATTGCAAGAAGGGATATTTATGAAATCCAGTTGTAGAAACAATTTTTGTTTTGCATATATAGAGAAGATGCATGTCAAATGGATAAAATTTGAAGTTCAAGTGTAAATTATTTTTTCATCTTTTTTGGAGTTACAATAAATGTGAGATCACATTCAAAATTAAAATTCCCAGCTGATCGAGCATCCCCATCTTTTGGTACATCTTTATTAACAACGTCCTTTCAAGAGTGAATTTGATCACTTGTATGAATATATATGCTCTTAACCATTTTCAATTGTTCAACCTGACAAGATTGAGTATTTATGAGAGACAGAACCTAGTTTTTTAATATAATAGACGAGAAAAATTAGCGTCATACTACTCTTTTAATTCAAGAGAGAAAATGGCCGTTGTGCTGAATTTAATCAAAGAAAACGAGTTATATCCTAAATTGAAACTGATGGCTCATGATCTTTCTTGCTCTTCATCTTGTGACACACATAGGGGACAAAGCAAAGGCATGGACAGCGTACCTTGGCCGGTTAGAGTATATTTTCTGCTGCAAAATAGGGATAAGAGGGGCCAAAGAATCATAAAAGTTTGGATATTGGAATCAAGAAAAAAAAAAAAAGGAGAAGAAAGGATTCGCCCGAATTTTGTATGTACGTGTAACATATGACGTAGTGTCATGATTATCAAGCAAGTTGTATTTTATAAGCCTTTTGGGTTCTTTTAGTGATCTTTTATTTTTTTGAGTGACTTGAAGTTTAGCAAACTCACCAAAATTACATAGTTGATTTGCAATCAATTGTATTAAATTGATAGAACTAAAAGTATAGAGAATGATTCGACCCCCAATTATTGAGCATGAGAAGTGCCATTTTTGTTAACTTAAATTTTGTCATTCTTTTTTTTGGGATGATATCCTTTTTGAAAGCAATGCTGTATTGGTTTTGTGAAATTAAATCTGCATGCGAGACAAAAAATAAATAATTAAAGAGTATATTAAATGTTTTTCTAAAATAATTTTCTAAAGAAACAGCCATCTCGATGGATGTCCCGTCCTATCTTTGGAGTAAAAATGGTCTTTTATATTTGGCATTTTTTTAAAAAAAAATTTCTATAAAGGGAGTAGTAAGACTATTACAAATAATTTGAAGGAGAAATCCAGCACTACTAAATTATGATAATTCTACTACTCCAAAAATTGATAAATTTTAAATGAATTATTTCAACATTTTCTTTTCTATCTTATATATCTAAATTCATAATAAAATACCATCAAAAGTATCATATCATAGAAATACAATTATTATTATAATTATTTATAGTAGATATGGATATGAAAAATTTGGCACCTTTTTTTATAATTAATTATACTAAATAGTCTTATAATTATATAGGAAAATAAATTAATTAAACTCATTACACAAGGTTATTTTTGGGTATTCATTTAAAAAATTGACCAATTCAATATTATTTTAAGGATTTGTTACTGAAACTATCAAATCAAGGGAGGTAAGTATAATTTTTCAAACTATAGCGGAGCTCAGTAAAATTGTCAGAAACATAAGGGGAGGTTTCTGAAATCATCCCTTACAAATAATTTGAAGGAGAAATCCAGCTAGACTTATTAGCAACTTCAACCCATCATAATTTATACATTTGCGAACCAGCTAATATCTCCAATATTAGTTGCAAAACCATACAAATATCCGATATGTCAACTGCGTACCCAAACTACATGCAAATCACTAGACTAAGGAATTAACCATACACATTTCACAGGCCTCATCTGCCAAGGGTACATAAAAAGGATGCCTTTACTAAACTATTACATGCGAAAACGTGCAATTCTGACTGCTACAATTCTGATACCAAGATGCTTGAGAGCAAAATCTTTGAGGTACGCAGTTCTTCCTCGATGAATCCATTGCCGTCCTTGTCTGCTGACTTCAGTCCATCCTTACATTTCCACCATGTAAACCATCCTCCCCCTTGCACGGATAGCCTGTTGGAATGTATGCCCTAAAACAATGTATTTGTTTTTATCTTATACATTCCTTATTATATGTTTTGTATTTTAATAACTTCTTATTTATCTGTTAAATATTAGATACAACCGATAAAGTCCTTATAATATTACTAATGTGATGATAGTCACAAGAGTTGGTGACTATGAGATATCAATCACATTTATAGAAATATTATTAAAATTTCCTAATTTTTGTACTAATGAAATAGGACATCTTTAGTACGATAAAACTAGTACACAGTTAGCCTCTAATTAATGTAATTAGTGGTTGTTCTCATCAACTATGGTATGAAGATACTTAGGCTAATGTGTAGATGATTTGAAAAGTACAAATGCATTGGATGATCCGTTTAGAGATCCCGTTAGGATATCTATCTAGTGCCAATGATGTATCTCTAGTGAAAATTGTGTAAGTGATCCTACGACTTGAGATCACCATAGTATCTTGAGTGTGAATCGCTACATTTTGACTCTATTTACTTGTTACTCTTCGTGAGTACCTTAAAATGTAGAAGTTGGATGTAGTGTGAAGCACGTAAAGAAAATGGGTGATCAAGACAGGATTTACCACTCTGATAGAAGGAGTTGATATCCGGATGGCCACTAGTGAGAAATTAACCCTAAAGTCGACTATTAGGTAAATTGAAGAATGTCTTCAATTTAACCTAATTAAGGGTAAATTTCGGGAACTAGAAAATTTAATTAGTCATCAAAGAATTGGCACTTATTCCTTATTCCTGATTAATTGGATATCTTTGGTGAAAGGATAATAATTACACGGTAATTTTTCACGGAAAGGTTAGGTCAAATTCCCTTGACTAATTCCGAATAATTGGGCAATCACGATGTGTTGCTAGACACCGCTCGTGATTTATAATTATGGGTTAATTATTTATTATAAGTTATGATAAAATAAAGTCGTTTATTTTATCTAATTATTAAACCATAATTATTACCAATACATTCGGGACCTATTGGGTCACACGCAATAGAGATTTAATCCTGGATTGAAACTACGTGAATTATCGGGGTTTAATTTTAAAAGAAAATTAATCCCAGGCCTATTTGAGCAGATAAGAGTAAATGGTTATCTCTTATCTATCAGATGATGATAGATAGAGTCTTGAGTGAAGAGAAGTCTTAGGCTTTTGATTTTGAATCAGACAAGGAGACTTATCATCATATATTATCAGGTATCCCTCTCTCTCGCTCTTCAATAGTTTTTTTGGCTGAGATACAGATACGAGAGGGTGAAGGTAACAAATAGAAAAAGAGAGAATCTGTGAGTGTCACATATTTTTTTTCGAATAAGAGTAAGAAGGGCTAGCAACTTTTTCTTGCTCTTCAATACATAGTTCGTGAGACGACTCAGGGTTGCTCTAGCGTGGATATCAGTAGAGGCAGGACGATTGGACTGCTTAAGGGCTGACCATCCTCAAACAACGCTGCAGGGAGACGCTGCTTGGATTAAGGTAATCCTATAACCCTACCTTTTATACATCATACGTAAAATCTAGGGTGATTCCTGGATGATTTTAGGGAAAATTTTTTATTTTTCCGCTGCGTAGTATCCCTAAAACCCAACATAGCCTCCCTGAGCTCTTCTTTGCTAATCCGGCCATCTCTGTTACTAACAAATTTTTTAAGCCATTTCTGGAACTCTACTGGATTCATGATAAGTTTGCCATCAACTTCACCAGGTTTACTGGGGGTTCTGAAGGCCATTATCCCCATTAATTTCCTATGTCAAATTATGAACTCAATTTGTTTCAAGCACTTAATTAGACGCCACGCATACACCTGGGTATGATAAATTAAATGGACTATAAAATGCTCCTATATTTACAGTTCTTGACTGAAAGCTTCTAAAGTTGTGGGATTCCACAACAACAAGTGCATTATGGTCCAAAAGAATCTATCCAGGTTGGTCTAAAAGCTCGTAACACGACTAACCGCAATTATTGATACAAACTGTTGGCTGAGATTTTAGTCCCTTAGTTATTGGAATTGGGAAAACGATGCCAAAGGAAGTTTTCTTTGTGTTGGTTGAGAAGGATTAGGATAAGGAAACATTCTTTAGTTTTATCCCAACTAAATATATTGTGTTTGATCTGGACGACTATTGCAAGGGGGAATATTTACGAAATCGAATCATAGCAATCATTTATGTTTTGCCACCCTGAGTCTGTCTTTACTTTATAGAAAGGTTAGGCACAAGGGATACAGAAGCACCTTCTTACAAGCTTCTTCCTTAAGATCGTTTGGTCCGTATCCATTAGGATGTTTAATGATTCAAAAGTATTGTGTCTCAACAGCTTGCTCGAGTTCAAGGAAGTGATATATGCTTTTATACGCAAGGGTTAGTACATGTAACCCAAGAAAAGGAAAAGATTGGACTTTAAATCATTAGAATGATATATGATTTTTCTAGCAGGTATCTAATTTATCAGACAAATGCATATATTCATATTTATTGTATTTTTACATTTAAATATTTTCTAAATTAAGTACGTTCTTTCAAAAAATATAAACATTTGTCCATTGACTACCTTTTAGCCAAATCCATATTATACAAAATCG